TTACAGATCCAGACTAACACGGCTACCCCTCTGATACTTGACATTAATTTGATCATTCCAGACTAAAATCCATTGCAATTTTTGCAAGTGAATATTTTCCTCTCCAGGAAAACTGGCCTTTTCCCTCCCCCTAAAATGCTTTTCAGTGAATAATTTTTTTTTTTCAAAAAAGTGTCTGATAAATAAAAGAGTTACAAAAACATTCAAAAACATTACAAATGGATCCAGTTTTGAACACTATGAAATATAAACAACCAACATTTTTTCATGAAAAACAATGTTTATTGGAGCCTCATGGCATCTGTGCCAAAATAAAACACATTCTAGAGGCTCTTCTGAAGTTGGTCAGTGGGAATAGTATTATTTGTGGGGTTTTGTATTTTTGCCACCAGACACTGTACTTCCCCCCCCCCCCCCATACCATTTTTAATCATTACTTATCCCAAGCAATTCTTGCAAAACTAAGGAAAGATTGGCACCTTGTGGACACACTGAAAATAGCCAGCTATAAACCATAGACTCATCAGCGCAGACATATCCTCATCTTCTCTGAGGATCCAAGAGGAGAATTTAGCTCTGAGTCCATGCTGGTGCAGTTATGACAAAAGTTATACACAAGTCTGGACAGAACGTGCAACCTAAATATCAGATAAGAACCTTGGGTCTGGATCTGGCTTTGTGTCCAACCTCCAATCTGAATCTCTCTCCCATTTGTCTTCAAACTTTCAAAAAGTTGGGAATCAGATCTGGATTTCATATCCCAATGTACAGGTGTGTCCTGATCTGATGTTTTGTTCCTATCCACAGTAGATCTAAGCTTTCTGAATTCATAACCAGAGATTTGTTTCTGCCCATTATAAAGCTGTGAAGTTCAGATCAAATCTTTGTTCCATAACTCAGAGCCAGAATTGTTTACCGCTTATGGAGTTCACATCCAACCCTGGATGCAGAATTTGCCTCCGAAGTTTTGGGTTGTGTCCACTATGGCGCAATAAAAGTCAGGTCTAGATCTGGGTATGGAATTCAGATCTGGGGGGTTTTCTTTCCCCACTGCTTGTGTGACCCTTCTGCCAGTTGGAGTCGGCAGCAACAAGGGCTGGGTTCAATATCAAGGGTTCCTTGTCAACAATACAAGATACAACACAAAACCGGCTTGAGCCCATACCCAGTAACCTGGGACAATTACACAGCACTCCTGAGTGCCTCTAAGAGGCAATACTTCCCCCTTGCAAGCACACAGTCCGAGTGTAGAAAAGGAACTTTTAATAAAAAGGAGGGCCACAAGCAGGATTCATAAACATAAACCCATGAACAGGACACCCACCCCAGAGTACATTGGGCAGGGTCTTTTTGCCTTAGGTTCTTAAATCCATCAACTAAAAGTTCGTTTAATGTGCCCCTCCCTTCACCGCACCTTACTCACAGTTGCTGTCCTTGGTCAATGCAAACCCAGAATTCAGAGGTGCATCTGCAGAGCTCACCCCCGACCCCAGCTTGGGGGAAGGGAAAGAAGGCACCTTGCACTCTCCACCAGCTGCTCAGCACTCTGGGACGCTTTGTGATCCAGCGGTGGCGGAGCCTTCTCAAAAGTGTGTGGGGGGGAGGGGGCAGGGACCCTGCTCCCTTCGTGGCCCCGCCCTACCCCTGCCCCCAGACAAGCTGGAAGCTGGAGCAGGCTGGGAGCTGCAGACCCTCCACCTGCCCAAGGTGGGGGGGGGGGCCGAGAGCAGCCCCTGGCCTGTGTCCCTACTCTGTGGGCCCCCCATGGGGGATGGGGCCTCAGAGCTGCAGCCCAGCCAGGGTAAGAGCCGTGTGACCCGGCAGCTGTGGGGAACCGCGGTAGACCCTCCACCTGCCCTGGGTGGGGGGGCCAGGATATGGGCCAGGGGCTGCTCTTGGCACCTCCACCCCAGGCAGGTGGAGGGTCTGCAACACGGTGCCACATGCTGCCCAGCCAGGCTCCAGCTGTCGGCCTGGCTGTGGGGGACTTAGCGGGAGGCAGGCCCATGGCAAAAAGTGGGAGGGCCAAGACCCCCTTTCAGTGATCCCACCACTTAACACAGCTCATAGTGACTTCAGTTAGTGGGGGAAGATGCTATGGCAATGCACACTGTCCCACAGCAGTGATTTTAGCTCTGTTGGTGTGTTATAGGACTCTCAGTTGAGCCTCAAGCAGCTCTGTTACTACACAGAGAAAAGAGGAAGGATAAAATGATGCCTAAGACCCTTGGTCAGCACCAACACCACCCAGTACAAGTACCTACGCCAACCGTCTTGCAATTGCACTGGGCTTCAGCACCTATGTCCCCTGTCTAGCGCATTCAGTTTAGTTGAGGATGAGTCCCTCAGTCAGGGTATACCAAGCACAGTTCTACTGCCCTTGATTCACACAACAAAGATAACCACCCTTTAGTGCCCCTGCCTCCAATAACAAAGTGACTTGTGATCCAACACCAGCCAAAAGTGATCATTTCATAGAATCATAGAAGACCTCAGGAGGTCATCTAGTCCAACCCCCTGTTCAAAGTAGGACCAACACCAACTAAATCATCCCAGTCAGGGCTTTGTCAAGCCGGGCCTTAAAAACCTCTAAGGATAGAGATTCCACCACTTCCCTAGGTAACCCATTCCTGTGCTTCACCACCTTCCAGGTGAAATAGAGTTTCCTAATATCCAACCTAGACCACCCCCACTGCAACTTGAGACCATTGCTCCTTGTTCTGTCATTTGCCACCACTGAGAACAGCCAAGCTCCATCCCCTTTGGAACCCCGCTTCAGGTACTTGAAGGCTGCTTTCAAATCCCCCTTCACTCTTCTCTTCTGCAGACTAAACAAGCCCAGTTCCCTCAACCTCTCCTCGTAAGTCATGTGTCCCAACCCCCTGATCATTTTCATTGCCCTCCGCTGGACTCTCTCTAATTTGTCCACATCCTTTCTGAATAATCACTTCCCTCGATCTGCTGGCAATGCTCCTACTAATGCAGCCAATATGCCATTAGCCTTCTTGGCAACAAGGGCACACTGCTGATTCATATCCAGCTTCTCATCCACTGTAATCCCCAGGTCCTTTTTTGCAGAACTGCTGCTTAGCCAGTCAGTCCCCAGCCTGTAGCGATGCACGGGATTCTTCTGTCCTAAGAGCAGGACTCTGCACTTGTCCTTGTTGATTTCTTTTGGCCCAATCCTCCAATTTGTCTAGGTCACTCTGGACCCTATCGCTACCGTCCAGCGTATCTATCTCTCCCCGCAGCCTAGTGTCATCCACAAATTTGCTGAGGGTGAAATTCATCCCATTGTCCATAACATTAATAAAGATGTTGAACAAAACTGGCCCAGGACCGACCCCTCAGGCACTCCGCTTGGGCAAAGCAATCCCATCATGCTGAGCACCGAGGCAGAGTGGGTGAGACAGTGCAAAGGAAAGCAGCTCCTGAAGTCCTCTTCCACAGCTCATCACTAGATGTCAGGGGAGAGCTCATTCAGACCCTGCTTACATTTGTCATAGCTGCAGTTCAAGAAAGCATCCTTAATCAACAAAGCACTGAAGTCAATGGGTCTTAAGCAGGCACTCAAGTGATATCCTGAATGGAGGCCTGTAAGAGCTATGAAGTACAGATTGAGAATTCAGCTCCAGAGTTCTGAGTTGGGCCCACTAGGGAGCGATGACATTCAGGTCTAGATCTAGCTCTGGAATTCACATCTGGAGTGGCATCCCATCCTCTTCCAACCTCCTATTGCTAAGAATGATCAAGCCCAGATCGGGGGGGCGGGGGGGTTGGGCATCTCTCTGCCTATGTTTTCCATCCGAGTCTCCTCCGCTGGCTGAAGCCCTGATGAATGACTCATTACCAGTTTAAGAAATTTGACACTGCAGATATGACCCTGTGACACCAGCTGGTCTCGGAATGGGAACACCCACATCCCATTCAGTGCCAAGCATTCATTAAAGTGAAATCAGTTCCTGCTCTCAGGGAAAAGAGCCATGGCTGCTGTCTTCCTCCCCGGGAACCTCCAAGACGAGGCAACTTGTTCGGTCTGCCTGGAGTTCTTCAAAGACCCCGTGTCCATAGAGTGCGGCCACAACTTTTGCCGAGCCTGCATCACCAAGAGCTGGAGAGGCCTGGAGATGGATTTCCCCTGCCCTCAGTGCCGGGAGATCTTCCAGCAGAAGAACTTCAGGCCCAACAGGCAGCTGGCCAACATGTGCGAGATCATCAGCCAGTTTGCAGTACCTGGGGCGAAAGAGGCTCCGGAGGAGGGGCTCTGTGAGAAACACAGGGAAGCGTTCAAACTCTTCTGCAGGGATGATCAGAGGTCGATCTGCGTGGTGTGTGACAGATCCCGGGAGCACCGGCCTCACACTGTGGTGCCCATAGAGGAGGCTGCCCAGGAGTACAAGGTATCTTTCTGTCTGTCTGTCTGTCTATCATCAGATCTGTATGTCTATCTATATTTGTATTTATCAAGTCTCTCTCTCCCCCTCTATCATCTACATCCCCCACTGTGTCTCTAGCTACACCAGTGGTTCTCAACCAGGAGTATACAAACCCCTGGGGGTATGCAGAGGTCTTCCAGGGGGTACATCAACTCGTCTAGCTATTTGTCTAGTTTTACAACAGGCTACATAAAAAGCTCTAGCGAAGTCAGTGCAAACTAAAATTTCCTACAGACAGTGACCTGTTTATACTGCTGTATATACTGTACACTGAAATGTCAGTACAATATTTATATTCCAGTCGATTCATTTTATAATTATATGATAAAAATGAGAAGGTCAGTAATTGTTCAGTAATAGTGAGGCTGTGACACTTTTGTATTTTTAGGTCTGATTTTGTAAGCAAGTCGTTTTTAAGTGAGGTGAAACTTGGGGGCAATGCAAGACAAATCAGCCTCCTGAAAGGGGTACAGTGGTCTGGAAAGGTTGAGAGTCACTGATCTACGCCATGAAAGCACAGTGCAATCACCTAGTTCAGAGGTTTTCCACAGAGCACTCTTCTGAGGGGAGCTGGCACATCATAAACTACTGGTCTCTCCATTTTCTCCAGCTGCACTAAAAGACATCTAAAAACACACAAAATACTTTCCTACCATTACCTTTCTGTGTAAGCAATTGCTGTGGCCGCTACCAAGATGTTATGTGATTGCAAATGGGGAGGGATGGTGTAGGATCATAAGTCTAGAAGACAATCTCTCTGTCAAGATATGGTGCATACTATGGGAAAGCTGGAGAATGCTGGCTCCAGTTAGTCTTCCATAAGTATATTGAATTTAAGCCATGTGACTGAAGGAGCCTGACGCTGCAAACGCTTACTTACTCAGTTGCCTTGTTAGAAAACGAAGGGTTAAATGAGTGAGAGTCTCCCGATCTATTTTTGGCAAGGGAGAATTCCCAAGAATGAATAAGGTCTTTTGCAGACACTGGTTCTCCTGAGCCGGGGCTAAGTTTAATTAAAATGGAATTTACAGCTGATAAATGCAGCAGTATTGTGTGTGTGAGAATGTCCTCTCATGTATATATGAATGTGTATGTGAGTTTCTTCTGTGTGTGTGTGTGTGCATGCACATATATGACTGCATTCCTTCTCTGTGTCTGTCTGTCTGTTTGTATGTATGCATAGGTCTGCCTCTTTTTGTGTACGAACACGATCGTTTCATTTGTATGAGTGTTTGTGTGAGTAACCCTGAGTTTTTTCTCTTGTGTTGTCTCTGTGCACTGAGAACAAAATACACCAACACAATAAGACCCCAACAAAAATAAATAATAATAATCAAATAGAATGTTTCCCCTTGTTCCTAGGAACAAATTAAGAGCCGTTTGGATTTCCTGAAGAAAGAGAGACAAGAATTGCTGGAATTTAAATCAAAGGATGATAAGAAAAGCCAAGAGCTACTGGTGGGTGCCTGCTATTAATGACAAGATAGCAATGAGTTAGGAGCCTAACTCTTGTTGACATTTATGTCTGCACGGTGGTAAACTTGATTCTTTTTAGTATGTAACACTGTATTCCCATCAGGGGCGCCGGAACAGGTGGGACCAGGGGGCCATAGCCCCACACTTTTTACCGGCTGTAAGGATGAGCAACAGTGGGAGGGGGCAGAGAGGAGCGAGCGGGGGGCAGGATCTTGGGGGAAGGGCAGTGCAAGGGCTGGGCCTTGGGGGAACTGGTGGCATGAAGGAGGGGGATCAGGGAGAAGGGGCAGTGCAGGGGTGGTGCCTCAGGGGGTGGCGTGCAGCAGGGGGCAGAGCCATGATTCAGGCACCTGTAGCCCCCCACCAATTTTAGGGCGCTTCCGCTGCTCCTGATTCCCATTGGGTTATTACGGAGATAGGTGTCATAGAAATACTAAAACTGACCTAAAATCTGAAAAGGGACTTGTGATTTTTGATGCTCTACCCCCCCCCACCCCCACTTTTTTGGTGCCCTTGCCCTATTTAAGACACCTAAGAGTCATGGAACCCTAGATTTTAGAGGCCAGTCTGACCTCCTGCAAAACAGACCCAGAGCCCCACACCCAGTAATTTCTGCAACAAGCCCATCTTCCCGGTTTGAGCCATAGCGTGGCTTTTAGAAAGGCATCCAATCTTTATTTAAAGACTTCAGGGATGGAGAATCCACCACATCTGGTGCTTAATTTGTACCAGTGCCGAGCCCTGGCACTTCTAGCCTTGGCAGTTCATAACCCCAGCACTTCTGGGCTTGCTGCTTTGGTTATGAATGTAAGAAAATTGCTTGAGCCCTGGCACCTCTTTCATTACAAAATTAAGCACTGACCACATGCCTGCGGGAGTTGTTCCGAAGGTTAATTACCCAGTCAAAAATGGGCCCCTCATTTCTAGTGTGAGTTAAAGGGGCTTAGTTTTCAGGGGATGTGAGCTCAGCACTTGCTGAAATCCTGGACTCTTTGTGGTGTCTCAAACTGGACCCTTCAAAATGGAAACCCCCCAAAATCATCGATCGCATTTGAGAATATAGGTCAGCAGCAACAACAAAGAGATTTTCCAGTGCAAAAGTACGGTAGTTCTTGTCTAGTCAAAGTGCAACACAACTACATAGCAAGCAGTGCAAAATGCTATTTAAGTCAACATTTATTGACTGCTGGCTCTGGACTCCCGCTGGATCACCAGCTGTTGTCTCGGTAGAAGGAAAGGGGAGCTGTTGATAACTTGAGACGCTCCTCTGGTGCTGAGCAAATACAGAGGCGTTGAACCTGTGTAACTTTGGTGGGAGCTGTGCAAATCGCCACAGGGCTGGATCAAGCCCCATGTTCCCATTCCTCTGTCACTGGTCATGCCCCACTGAGCCTCATGTATCCTGATCATCCTCAGAGACCTCGAGTACCATGCAAACTTCTACACAGATCTACACAGTTTCCCCTGCTTAGTATTATATCAGCCTGCTCGATTCAAGATTGAGGGGAGATGGGGTGTGAGAGGAGGATGTCACAAGGGAGTGGAACATAAATGCTTGATTTAGAGAAAATAAACAATGGAGAGGGGAGGGGAATCCAGATTTAACTCGGAAAATACATGCAACCCAAATCTAGGTGAAAGGAGAAAAAGAACCCAGGGGAAGTTTTTGACCATACATTGCATTAGAGCAATACATTTCATTCCTTATCCTCTGTTGCTATCTAGTGCCCATTTCATGTCATTCCTTCAAAGCTAAAATTTGTTGCCCTTCCCCCTTCTGTTTATTATCTTGCTATTATTCATTATTGATTATTATTATTATTACAGTTCCTAGGAGCCCCTGTCATGGACCAAGACTCCATTGTGCTAGGCACTGTACTAACACACAACTAAAATTCCCTGCCCCGGGAGTACTTTCTCCCTGCCAATCAAACAGTATTGTAGTGGCTTAAGTGTAGACATACCCTTAGCCTGCAGAGTAGAAGTAATCTGGGACAGCCACAGGGCTGGCAGGGGAGAGGCTGACAGGCAGAATTCTGCCATTCATTGGTTGATAGCCTGGAAAATGGCAATGACAGCAGCCAGTCAGGTAAAGTTATTCCCAGCTGAACATGGACCAGGACTGCCTGCCAGTTTGCAGCTAGAACACAGCTCAAAAATAGCACTTCCAAGTTGTTCGAAAGTTTTGGATGTCCCCCCAGGCCATTCAGATAAAAGGGAGAGTATTGCACACTAAACGCGGTGAGACTCATGATAGAATCATGAGAGCTGGCAACACTTGTTAATAATTCTGATGACATTTCACCCCTAGCCAAAAGCCAGGCTGGCAGATGGTTAGATAACTGTCCCAGCAATTATTTTTGTGACCTGTGGCCGGGGTCACCTAACCACGCTTGTCTAACCAGTTTGCCTGGTCTTTCTCCTGGCTTTCTGTGTGACTGGATATCCCAGAGCGCATTGTTCCACATTGTGTTAGCATCTGAGCACTTTATTCAGAGGTGAAAGTAAGCTAGTACGGTCCGGTACGGCGTACCGGCAAGAGCCAGTACGCCGTGCCAGACCGCACTGGCTCCCGCAGCGGGGATTTAAAGGGATCTGGGCTCCCCGCCGCGGTGGGAAGCTCAGAGCCCTTTAAATCCCGCCCGCAGCTCCTGTGGCCAGGCAGGGGCTGGGATTTAAATCCCGGTCCCAGCCCGGCAAGGCTCGGGGCTCCCCGCAGCCGCGGGAGCTCTGGGCCCTTTAATTTGCCCCTGAGCCCCAGGGGCTCCCAGCCACCTCTGCAGCTGGGAGCCCCGGGTTGATTTAAAGGCCCTGGGGCTCCCAGCCACAGCCAGTGCCCCAGGGCCTTTAAATCTTGAGAGGCCCCGCCTCTTCTGGTTGAGGCCACGCCTCTTCCGGATGAGGCCACGCCCCCCAGGACTCCGGCAGTACTGGTAAGTCCTGTAAGTTACTTTCACCCTGCTGAGTCACATACATATTTGTCCAGAATACACTGGTACAAGCACAGCCATGCTGTGTGATGGCTGTGCATGCACAAATGCACTTCAGCCCCAGCGGTGTGGTGATAAAACTATCATGTGCACACAACCAACAGCCACAGGCATAGGCACCAACTCCAGGGGTGCTCCAGGGGGAGGAGTGGCGATGGGGTCCACTCAGGGGAGGGGGTGGAACTGGGCAGGAAGAGGCGAGGTGGGGGTAGGGCTTGGGGAAGGGGTGGAGTGGGGGCAGGGCCTGGGGCTGAGCGGGGTTCAGCACCCCCGGGGACAGGAGGAAGGTGGCACCCATGGCCACAGGCCCTAGTCTTTGCACTGTCTCCCAGTCTGCCCCTTAAAGTAGCAGAAGGGCCCCATCAACATCTGTAGAGCCATCATCGCACATCCCTTCTCAAAACTCCCCTCTTCTGGGCGCGTACAGAAAGGCACACCCACATTTGTCACCCTGTCGCTCCCTCCCCATTTGCTGGTCTCATCCATCCGCCTCTCCCATTTTGCCTTTTAGGGCATGTCTACACTACAAAATGAAGTTGGCCTAACTTACGTCAGAGTACAGTCGCTGCAGTAATTACATCACTTGAGTGTGTTTACACTCTGCAGCTTGTCTCGGTGGTGCATGTCCTCACTGGGAGCGCTTGCACCGATTGTATTGTTACTGTGGGGCAGCTTCTGAAGGTCGGTAACAGTTAATGTAAGCAACGCAGCGTCTACACTGACACTGCGTCGACCTAACTACATCCACATTGACTCTACGCCTCTTGTGGAGGTGGAGTTATTAAGTCAGTGTAGTGGGTGAGTTACGTCAGTGGGAGCGAAATTTTAGTGTGGACACTGACAGAGCTGGGTCGATGTAAGCTGCCTTGCGTTGACCTAACTCTGTAGTGTAGACCAGGACTTAGTTTTTAAGCTCTTTGGGCCTTGAAGTCCCCCTTCAATATATAAATGATGTAGTCAATATGTAGTTAGTTGGTTGGAACTGGGTTAAATGAGAGCGTAACTAACTGGTTGTGTGAATTTACTTATAGTTCAGAGATCACATAAGGCGGAAATTCACTCATGTTCTTCACAAGTTTATAGGCAATCTAAGGTTCTTATCAGCCCACCATTACCATAATATCTAAGCACCTCACAGTCTTTAATGTTTTCATCCTCACGGCACTCCTGTGAGGCAGGGCTGTGCTACTACCCCCATTTTACAGATGGGGGTAGTAGCACAGAAAGGGGGTAGTTGCCCAGAAAGACAAAAGCCTGAGCCAAAGCCCACTGAAGTGTGTGGAAAGACTCCCATTGACCTTAATGGGTTTAGGGTCAGACCCTGAGGCAGGAGCGTTGGAAGCTTCCTAGAAGAGTGGAGGGGGGGCACCAGCGCCTGAACCATAGCCCGGCCCCTCACTCTGCCTCTTCCCCAAGGCCCCGCCTCTGTGCTACCTCTTCCCCCAGAGGCCCCACCCCCACACCACCTCTTCTCCCTGAGACCCTGCCCTGCGATGTCTCTACCCCCCGAGACCCCTCCCTTGCACCACCTCATCCTCTTGAGATCCCGGCCCCTGCTCGCTCCTCTCTGCCCCCTCCCCCCATCTCTTGCCCTTAAGGCAGGTAAAAAGTGGGAGGGCTAGCTTATTTATTTAAGATATGCTCTAGTAACAAAAGGAATTCTTTTTGTGGGGTGAGTTCTAAGTCCTGTGTTATTCAGGAGGTCACATTAGATGATCTCAACAGTCCCTTCTGGCACCGGAATCTATGGAAATTTGAGGGGGTTGGTTGAATTGGTATTCGTCAGTGGGAACCTGTTTCAGCAAAAATTTCTGGCTAGCTCTATTCACTACCTCATGCTGCCATTGCATTCAGCGATGTACAATCCATCAAATGAGTTGACTGACCTGCCCTCTACCTGGTCATTTATTTTTGTTGAAGAAAACTATAGAGTTGGAGCGGCAGATGCTCATCTCTGAATTCGAGGGTCTGCGCCAGTTTCTGCATGACCAGGAGCATCTCCTCCTGAGCCAGCTGGAGAAGATGGAGAAGGGCATCGCCAAGAAGCAGAATGAGAACCTCACCGAGCTCTCCAAGGAGATTTCACTCCTCAACCAACTGATAACAGACTTGAAAGAGAAAATCCAACAGCCGGTGCTTGAGTTGCTCAAGGTAAGGCTGGAGCCATGAGCTCTTGGGCATGGAAGGAGAAGGCCTGTACCCATCAGCATCACAAAAATAAGATGCCTCAATAATGGCAGCCATTTCCCCCAACAGAATACATACATAAATAAAAATGAATGGCCGAGTGTGGGGTGTGGATGGGAATTTTGATTTGAAAAATATCCAACCAGCTCTACTTCTGAATGATGGCTGCATTCAAAGCTATTGGGATTGGTACACAAAAGAGAGTGCGTCATGGGGGAATTCATCCCCGCCGCTCCACGTTATTCCTTTTAGCCCAAGCAGCTAGCTAAAACATTTGTGGCAGGGATGGTGTCCCTAGCCTCTACTTGCCAGAAGCTGGGAATGAGCGACAGGGGATAGATCACTTGATGATTACCTGTTCTGTTCATTCCCTCTGGGCACTGGCCACTGTCAGAAGGCAGGATACTGGGCTAGATGGACCCTTGGTCTGACCCAATAGGGCCATTCTTATGTTCTTATGCCTTGCGGGTCGTTCCAGCTGGGAGGAGAAATTGGTGGTGGAGTCAGAGACCTTTCATGGAATCTAATTCATTTACAAGTCCTGTTTCCCAGAACACAGAAGGACCCAAACAACAGGAGATCATATCTTTGCTCACAGCTCCAAGCCTCCTTTCACTAGCAGTACATCGTGATTGTCCAGGGTGTATCTGTAGTGTCTCTTCCAGCCTGTTCCTGTGTGGTTCACCCAAACACCCTCACCCAGTAACCAGCCCATATAGTTCTAATTCCTGGGCAAACTTGCATATCCCTATGTTTTAGGTGGGGGCTGCAATAAACGAGCTTAAGTGTTTTTTGCAGGTATCTGACATTCTCCTCTAGCTTCAATGACATTTTGTCCAAACCGCAACCCTCCATTGAAGCTCTGGTTGGAGGATTTCAATAGTATCTTGTGTTGGGCTCTCTGCACAAGGGTCCATTTCATCCATAGAGCCAAATCCTCAGCTGGTTGAAAATTGGTACAGATCCATTGAAGTCACCTGTGCTGATATACACACAGGATGGGTATCTGGCCCTCAGCTCTTATAAAATGTAAGGAACAAGGGGAATGTCTTATCCGGAATTATCAATGTGGGGAATGTCAGTGTAGGCATAGGCACTGACTCCGTGAGTGCTCCGGGGCTCAAGCACCCATGGAAAAAATATAGGGCGTGCTCAGAACCCATGGACCATGGCCACACCAGCACTTGGCCTCTTTTCGGGTGGCCCTGCCTGTGCTGCACCTCTTCCCCTGAGGGCCCCTCTCCACTCCCTCCCTCCATCACTCACCCTTAATGGAGGAGGGGGCAGAAAGGAGCAAGCAGCACAGTGGGCAGGAGGCACTTGGCTGAGGGGTGGAGAGGAGCAAGTGGTGAGCGGGTGGGGGGGCGTCGGGGGGAGGAGGTGAAGAGGAGCAGGTGGGAGGTGCTCAGGGGAGGGAGCAGAGAAGAGCGAGGGAGCCGCCAGCGGGCGGGCGGGGGCAGCCTTTGGGGAGGGGGAAGTGTGAGGGTGGGAAGAGATGGAGTGGGGGTGTGGCTTTGGGGGAAGAGGCCGAGCGGGAGTGGAGACTCGGGGCAGAGCAAGGGTGGAGCACCCACCAGCAAAAAAGGAAGTCAGTGCCAGAGTGTAGGGACTTAATTTTGGCCATGACTGGGGATTGAAAAGAGAAAAGAGTAACGAGGAGTCCGGTGGCACCTTAAAGACTAACAGATTTATTTAGGCATAAGATTTTGTGGGTACTTAGAGCTAATACAGATACGTAGAGCTAAAGTATGAGTTTGAAGTCAAGGATAAGGATTAATGCATAGGAGCACTTATAGACTTGCGTTTGGTGGGTAGTCCACAGAGCGGGTGGGAATGAAGAACACACCCTGTCCAGTGAGTGACATGAATGCAAGGGAGTATCTCTTTCTTTCCCCCCTTCTAGGATATGACGAGCTTCTTGAACAGGTACGGAGCTGCATTCTTTTTACACTCCCTCATGCTTTTCTCACGAGTGCTGCTGAACGGTCAGTGTTAGCCCTTCAGAGATAATCAGGGACACGTGGGCACACTGGGACAGAAAGGGTGCCTGCCACTCCACACAAACCCTGGGCTCCTTCTAGCGTCTTCTGTGGAAATTTAGAAACCCTCAGAAACTCTCAGATTTCCTTTTCCTACCAGGGAGCTCAATCAAGCACCAGATTGAAAACTATGGAGACTGGAGTCCTCCTTTTATTTATCTGTGTAACATACAATTCACCCTTTACATATCCCATGAGCACCATTTATGTCAGTGATTCCCAACCTGTGGGGCGTGAGGGAACCTTTGGGGGGGAGCAGCGGGGAGGAAACACCACCCAGCTCTGTTCTGCCCCCAGCTCTGCTCAGGCCCCGCTCCCAGCCCCGGCCCTGCCCCCCAGCCATTCCCGGCTTCAGACCTGCCCCCAGTTGTGGCCCAGCCTTGGCCCCCTTACCCCTGTCCACACACACCCCCTCCACTGGAAGCTGTGGCCCTGCTCCCAGCCCTGAAAAGTTTGAGGACCACTGATTTAAACCCTTAGGATGAAATTCAGCTTGGCACGGTGGCTCAGACATGGCGTGGCGCACCACTACTTAAGCCTCACCTATAGCCTGATCCAAGGCCCTTTGAGGTCACTGGGCATCTTTACAGTGACTTCGATGGCCTTTCTCTTAAGACCTTGATGTGGGACTCCAGTGTTGCATAGTTCCGTCGGCAGGCCCTAGTTGCTTCGCATAATTCCATTGGCAGACCCGAGATCCATTACATAGTTCCATCAGCAGGCCCTCGGCACTGAGACAGATTTTACCCAGAGTCAGTGACAGCCTTCCCCACCAAGGTAACATAATCCTGCCCTGAAGTATGGCACAATAACCAGGATGCTAGTGGAGGACTTTCAAATTCTGGGGTTAAGTCCTTGCTCTGCCAGGGACTTCTTGGGGGATATTGGACAAGTCTCTTAGGGTATGTCCACATGGCAAAGAAAAACCTATGGCTGGCCGGTGCCCAGGGCCGGCTCTAGGCACCAGCAAACCAAGCACATGCTTGGGGCAGCACATTTTCAAGGGCGGCATTCTGGCCATCTTTTATTTATTTATTGATTGATTTGTTTTTTCTTTTTTTGCTTCGGGCGGCAAAAGCCTAGAGCCGGCCCTGGCAGCAGCAGCACATCACCCTGGGGCCGCTGCGGTTCGCGCCA